TTATGAAGTTATTACGCGACTCTCCGTTCGCCTAGTGGTTTTGGGTTTTGGTGGGCTGTTTGTGGGTGTACTCGGAAGTGCATTTTCCTCAGCTTTCCCAGCTGCAGGGGCGTGGCAGTTGGCAGGTGTGAAAAATGCGATTGCCGTGGGCATTAGACTTTGGGAATGTGCACCCAGGAAATAGCCTCTAGATATTTTAGGGGTATTTTAACAGCAATTTATGAAAAGAAAATCGGGGATTTTTCTTTGTTCTTTTGTGGTAGTTCTGGTAAATAGTGTGACCATGCGAAAAGAAAGGAATTAATTTTCTATTTTATTGGGAAAGTGTTTGATTATTTACTGGTTTAAAGTTAAAGTTTGTGCAACAGATTCGTTTTCTAAGCAGGCTTGGCCGAAATTGTTTAATAATTAGTTTAGATCTGTAGCGAAAAGTATAACTACCTTCCATAAAAATGTAAAGCATCATAAAAACACATAAAAATCAAAGAAGTAAAAAAGCTTATAAGGCAAAACCATGAACTCGGCGCAAACAGAACAGAACTGGAATCAATTCCCAATTCCCCCGCCGAATGGACTCTTCGAAACCCTTAACGTATATACGCCAGCTGTGGATTATGTAGCCCTTAGAACTCCTGTAAAGAGCGAATTTAGAAGACGAGTTCTGTTCAAGGATGAAAAACGGGAAGTAGAGGTCATCAAGGAGCTGGAGTTATTTTTCCAAACGGAAGATATAACAAAGAAACGCTGCCTCAATGATCATTTCAATGAACTTCCCATGAATGTTATTTGCCAGACTCCTTGTATTATGCCCTTAAATGATCAATATCCCTGTGTGGGCTTCTGGAGTGCCCTCCTCAGTTACATTTTCAACTTTCTGGGTATTTTCGGGAATGAATGCGATATGGGCGACAGGCTAAGCTGGACATGCGAAAACAATATACATTTCTAGAATAAAACGAATAAAATAAATACCTCATACCAACTATACAATTGACCTCCTCTGATCTCTGGTTTCCCAGTAGTAAAGTTTCTATGCTCATTTATTTTTGGTGTATCTATTGACGCTTTTTTATGGGCTGTCTAAATATTTGCCACTAATTGCGGCCAAAATCGTCGCATCTATGCCAGAAATAGGCACCGCGTGTAATTAGACCCACGCGCAGGCCAAAAGCGAGCCATCTGAGCGCGGATTTAATTAGTGGAGCGGACTTGGCCCACACAGTGCAGACTGCGACTGCCACAGCGACCCAGACGGAGATCTAGAGATCTGGAAACCCAGATGGAGATGGAGTTGGTGGCTGTCTGCTGTGACACGAGCTGAGGAGCTAAGACTGAAGCTGAAGCTGAATCTGAATCTGAAGCATTGACCTGATTTGTGACGGCGACGACAGCAGCGGAGACAACAAACCGAGAAACTATTGAGACAAGAGACAGAGCAGAGACAAAGCCGAGACAGAGGCTATCAAAGCAGCTGGCTTTGGGGCCACTTGGCAACTGGGCCACTTGGCAACTGCATCCGAAATGATCCCCCGGCGGAGCTTAGTGGGTGAACTCAACTGGAGTAATGAGAGTCTGCCTAAAACTAAGTACCTAACAAAACAACCCGAAGTTAATCAGAACGAATTCACTGAATCGGGCACAAGAAATTCTTAGATTTATGAAAGGGAACGGAAACTTCAAGATATTTCACATGAATCTTAAAGAAAAGCCTAAGCCAAGCGAGAGCGCATTTCTTGTCTACCTCAAATTAGGTAACTTACAAAACAACCCGAAGTTAATTAGAACTCACTGAAGATTTATGGAAGGTAACGGGGGAGCTTCAAGATATTTCTCGACAAAAAACAACAAAACCCGCTTTGCAGTAATATTAAGAATTAATCCGGACTTCAGATTAGATTGGAAATTTTTTACCGGCCTTAACTTTAATCCTTTGGTGTTTGAGAACCGCGGACAGGCGGTTTAAACCCGTTTGCCGGATTGATTGATGGCCGTTGATTGAGCACTCGCTTTGGCAAATAAAAAAATGAGCAGCGCCAGCAGATTACCCAATCCATTGAGCAAGTCTCAGGCCAATTCCAATTCCAAATCAAATACCAAATACCAGCTCGTACTCGTACTTCAAATCGGATTCCACTCACTCGGAACGAGTCGAAAGGCGTAATGAAAGCAAATTAATAAGCCATCATCAGCATAATGTGCTCGCTACTCCTCGATTACGTCTTAAGTGGATTGTGGTGTGTGCTGTGTGTTGTGTGCAATGCGATTGCAATTCACAACTTCAGTACTCTACTCACAATTTGCATAACAACAGGAGGGGAAACCGGGGAAACTCTCCCACATGAATTCAATTTGAATTTCGGTTCTGCGGCGGTTGCAACACACGGATCGCAGACAGCAGACTTACGACAGATCCAACAACTTGACAACAGTTGTAATAATGTTTGTTTCTCGCTTTGCTTTTGGCTTGCTTTAGTTCAGGTCGCCCTGCGAGTACAAATGAATAAATGTGTCTGCACCCCACGCGCTGCCAGTAATCAGAAACAGAAACCCACGAAATACGAAAATACGCTGTTGTGGAAGTGGAAATGGAAATGGAAATGCCGCAGAATATGCTGATTTCTGCTCTGCATATTGTGGGTAAAAACCTAATTTTTAGTAATCTATGACATCTGACAAGCAAAATCCCCCCACGAAATCCCACGATGACCTCTCGAGTGAGGAGGGAAAGTTTGTGGTTTATTATTATTATACCCTTGCAGAGGGTATTATGATTTCAGTCAGAAGTTTGCAACGCAGTGAAGGAGACGTTTCCGACCCCATAAAGTATATATATTCTTGATCAGCATCACAAGACGAGTCGATCTAGCCATGTCCGTCTGTCCGTCCGTCTGTCCGTCTGTCCGTCTGTCTGTTTCTACGCAAACTAGTCTCTCAGTTTTTGAGCTATCGGGACAAAACTTTCGCAAAAGTCTTCTTTCTATTGCAGGTAGTATATATGTCGGAGCCGACCGGATCGGACAACTATATCTTATAGCTCCCATAGGAACAATCGGAAAAAAAAAACTTTAAAAAATTCTAGCTTCGGTGTTTTTTGAAATATTACCTTCTACTTTTGGGGATGTTATTTTTTAAATATTTCTGAATTTCGAATTAATTATTTAAAAAATCGGACTACTATATCATATAGCTGCCATAGGAACGATCGGAAAAATAATGGAAAAGTAATAGGAAATAAATTCTAGCTTCTTTGGTTTTTATTGTATTATCTTCTACTCTAGGATATGACTCTTTTTAAATATTTTCGAATTTCAATTTTAATTTAATCAAAATCGGACGACTATATCATATAGCTGCCATAGGAACGATCGGAAAATTAATGGAAAAGTAATAGGAAATAAATTCTAGCTTCTTTGGTTTTTATTGTATTATCTTCTACTCTAGGATATGACTCTTTTTAAATATTTTCGAATTTCAATTTTAATTTAATCAAAATCGGACGACTATATCATATAGCTGCCATAGGAACGATCGGAAAATTAATGGAAAAGTAATAGGAAATAAATTCTAGCTTCTTTGGTTTTTATTGTATTATCTTCTACTCTAGGATATGACTCTTTTTAAATATTTCCGAATTTCAATTTTAATTTGATCAAAATCGGACGACTATATCATATAGCTGCCATAGGAACGATCGGAAAATTAATGAGAAATATTAGAAAATTGAACATTTTTGCGATTTGTTAATTAATAGGAATGATCTGCAAGGGTATATAAGCTTCGGCTGGCCGAAGCTAGCTTCCTTTCTTGTTATTTATTTGTCTATATATTATGTTTACTACGTTGATCGACCTTAGAATTAAATACCATTGAGTTTAAATTAAATTATTATTTATTACAAAATATGAATAGTAAATATAAATAATTATTAAAGGATTAAAAATTGAAATATTTATGATTTAATAAGTTTTAAATAAATATTAAAGTATTAACTTTAATAAGTTTAAACTATCTTCAAGTTTTCTCGTTTTTTTTTTATATAGCATATTTTTATTTATAGCGTTGATAAACCAACTTAATGGTTATAAAACGCATAATTTAGAACATAGAAACAAATAACTGGAAACATAACATGAGTGTGGAAAGAACAATTTTATAACATTGACAGTTCTACATTACTGTCTCAGGACGCGGGTTTGATGGCGTCCTCTTGTCCAGAGATCACCAGGGTGTCGACGCTTCAGCCTTCTTCTTGTGGTTGGGTTTGCCAAGGATGCAGCTAATTGATTGGAGTGGGCTAGTAGTCGTTCGTTGTAGCGGCTTGAGTGCATGTTGATTTGCTCTCTCACTGAAGGAATGTGCAGGTCGCTGGCTAGGACCTCATTTCGTACAGTATATTTATCATTTATTTGTTGGGAATATGCAAACATCAAAGCTACTGGCTCCACCTAGCGGCTGTTGAATGTGTTGATGGCTCCATCTAGCGGCTGTTTCTAGTTTTGCTCTTAACTTTTTAATGAATAGTCCGATTTAAAAAATTTCTTCTACATTTTAATAGGTATCTTTAAACACAACAAAATTATTAATTGCTATGCCGCATTAGTTAGAACCTGGGGCTGGGGTATAACCGACATGGTTGAGTGAGGATCAGTAACCATCGCACATCAACGAGTGTGTGCAACTGCGATTGCATTTGTGATTGCATTTGTCTTCTTGGCCCGTCTTTAGGCTGTCTGGCTGGTCTTGCCATGACTCGGTTTGGTTTTGCTGGTTTTCTTGGATTTCTTGGTTTTCTTGGCTTCTTGTTGGCTTGCTGCCTTGGCATGAGGCGGTGCCAGTTGCCAACAGTTACCTGTTGACGTGCATTTGTCTGGCCTGACACCTTGGCCTGTCAGCCGGCATTAGCGGCCTGTCACAATGTTGTGGGCAGGTCAATTACTTACTTACTTACTCACCTACTACGAAATGGTACTAAAGTTCTATATGTTCTCTGCTTTTTTCAGACCCTACAGTCTTGTCCCATCGTGTGCATCAATGAGCCGGACAGCAAGGAGATACTGCAATCGAGTGCGGAGAGCACGCTAGAGAAGCAGCCCAAGGAAGGAAGCTCCTCCTCGTCGGGCACTTCGGTGACCAGCCTGAATGGCAACTGCATTGCAATCAATGGAGGAGTAGGAGAAGCTACTCTAGCAACCACCAGCAGTGCGGCCGGAGTGACCAAGATAACGATAACCAGCGACAGCAGCAAAAATAGTACCAACAACACAGCTAAAATCGACTGTTACAAGAACAGCAGCAGCAGTTTGGTCTCCATCACCAGTCTAAACAGCTGCAGCGACCTCAGCCGGGGAAGTACCGCCACCCTGCCCATTAGCAGTAGTACTTGCAACAGCAGCAACAACGTCAGCAGCCATCCCCTCAACAGTAGCAATAGCTTGAACAACAACAACGGCAGCGACACCTCGTCCAACAACTTCCAGGAGCGTTTCGACTTTGAGCACTGGAAGGGAATACTCAGCGACTACAACTGCTTTCACGGGCTATATCGCTACTGGAATCAGTACAGCGGACGCAGTGCAGCCAACAGCAACATCAACGGTAGTCAACAGCAGCAGCAGCAGTCGCTACAGTCCCATTCCCAATCGCAATCCCAGTCCGAACATGAAAACGGCCTGGGCAGCGGAGTTGGTTCCTTCTACACACACAACATATTAGGCTACACCTTCGGCTATCCCTTTGGCCTGAAGGAGGACCTCGACGGCAACTGCAGCAGCAGCAACTGTCACGGCAGCAACAGCAGCAACAACCATAGTCTCGGCCTCAGGAAGTGGCTTTCAGGCAGCCCCAGCAGCAACGAGACGCCGCTACAGAAGCACTACAGACACCAGCAGAAGAAAAAGATGCCCGGGTTCAGGGGCAGAAGGGTCTGGTGCGGTTGCTTCAAGGTATGTTTCGTGTTGACGGATGGACAGTTAGTCAGTTTAAAGTTTAGAGTGTTACTAGGTTCAGATTATTAATTAATTGCATAAACCTACAAACCTACAAAAGAGTTTTTTACACAAACTAAATCTAAGAGGATCCATGATCCTTAAACTAGGAATATAGATGTACAGACGTGGAAGAAAAAATATAAACAAACTTTCTTTTTTATGTTTTTGCGTAAATATTTATTACTTATACCTTTTTATTTTTTTTTAATATTACCCAGTATCTTAAAAGTCAAATAAAAAAAAGCTAGATGGCGCACTTTCTTTAAAATTTTTAACATTTTTTTAAGAATTTAGTTTCTTTAATTTAAGTAAGAAATATTAATAGAAAACGAACAAGGAACAAAATCGTTACTATTTACTTTTTCTTCTATGACTGTACTACGTATTAGCCAAATTAAAATAGATCATTATGTAATTAGAACATGGAAATTGTGGGTGACACTTAAGAGATCCGAACTCGAACCCGAATCAAATGAACCAAACGAAAAATCCAGGCAAAGTCACGTGCAAACCTTAAAAACCCGACAGACAGAACCGATTGCCAATCGAAATTGGAGCCGGCACTCGAGCACTGCCTCAACTTAAGCCCTTAAGTCAAATTCGAATTCCAACCTTCCCCGAGATTCTGTGTCAGCGAATTTGTCAAATTGTGCACGAAGTTGCATAGGAGGTGATAATTCGAATTGCCATGGGAACGATCCACAAAGTAGGGGGAGTAGGTGGATTGAACACTAAGGAAAAAAGTTTATTTTTGTTTAAAATTTTAATCCATCCTTCCCACCCCAAAAATATCAGTTTTTTGGCCGAAACAAGGGAAATAGTAGCCCAAATATGGAATGTCATACCTTGTTGAAATCGTAGCTAAATTCTGAATCGATTTCCGTTAAAATCTGGACATTTTAATTTTTGTCAATTTTTTGCAAAAAATCATGATGGTACCCTTATAAAAAATGCGAAAATTGGTGAAAAATTAAATTTCCCTAAAAGTGATGGGGATCGTTAGTTTAGGTTGTTAGCTGTTCAAAACAGTCGGTCATTTAGCTCTCGGCCTTGATTTGTCCAAATTACGGCTGAAAAACCAAAAAAAAAAAAAGGCGATTTTCAGCGAAAATTTGAACCTCTTTTTTCACCCTAAAATATCAGTATTTTGACTAACAATAAAAGTAATCATCCAAATATGTCATACCTCTTTAAACTCGTAATTAAGTTCCCAATTGACTGGCATTCAAACCTAGAAATTTTTAATATATTTTAAAAAATATTACAAGTTTGTATTGATATTGATAATAGGGTAGAATAGACCCTTTTTCCTATCGACTTTTTTTTTCTGTGCAGAAGCTAAGGGACTTAACATTACCCACTGAATCAGACTGAATCACGAGCGCAGCGAGCAGAACCGCTTTCTGAGCTGGCGGGGATTGGATTGGATTGGTTTGGCTTGGAGGTTGGGCAATGGCTTCATTGGCCTTCTAATTGGACACGCACTGCTGACGGACGAAGAACGTTCTGCGCTTGAGCAACCTGCCCACTAATCGATTCTTCTTTTCCTTTTCCCTTTCCTCGTTCCAGGACGATGAGCCGCCCGAGATTTGTGTGGTGGAGGGGGCGTTCACCCTGCAGACGCTCACGCCCACGCAACCGATGCCGTCGGTGGATGAGCTGGACACAAAGTTCGCGGAACTGGTGGAGGAGCTGGATCTGACGGCGCCCAACAAGGAGGCGATGCTGAGTTTGCCGGCGCAAAAGAAGTGGCAGATCTACTGCTCGAGGAAGCTGCCCTTGGATGCGGGCGATGGTCCAGATGCGGCGGCCATAACCCAACCGCCCACCGCCGAGCACTATATCGAGCGACTCAAGGAGCTGGTGGTGCATGTTTCCCTCTCGCCGGAGGATTCGCCCAGCCATGAGTCAGCCGGCAATGGCAATCATCGACTGGATGGCCATGCCGCCTTTGTGGACGCCCTCAAGACATCGCTGCGCACCTCCACGCACAGCTTTGTGCTGCGTTTCGTGGAGCTCGATGGGCTGCCCGCCCTGCTGGATCTTCTGCTGCAGCTGGACATCCGGGTGGCCAACAGTCCGCTGCACACCAGCCTGATTGGATGCATCAAGGCGCTGATGAACAATTCGATGGGCAGGGCGCATGTGCTGGCCCATCCGACGGCCATTGATACGATAGCAAGATCGCTGGTGGCGGATAACATACGCACCAAGATCGCCGCCCTGGAGATTCTGGGAGCCGTGTGCCTGGTGCCCGGCGGCCATCGCAAGGTGCTGCAGGCCATGCTCTACTTCCAGGAGTTCGCCACCGAGCGAACCCGTTTCCAGAGCATTGTCAACGATCTGGATCGCTCGACCTATGGGTACAGGGATAATGTGAATCTCAAGACGGCCCTCATGTCGTTTGTGAATGCGGTGCTTAACTATGGACCCGGCCAGGAGAACCTCGACTTTAGGCTCCATCTGAGGTACGAGTTTCTCATGCTGGGCATCCAGCCGGTGATCGACAAGCTGCGCACGCACGAGAACGAAACGCTGGACAGGCATTTGGTGAGTGTTCCGCTGAGATTGAACATCATTCCTCTAATACTTTTATTCCTGCTCTGTAGGACTTCTTCGAGATGGTGCGCGCCGAGGATGAGAAGGAGTTCGCACGGCGCTTCAAGGAGGAGCACGTGGACACCAAGAGCGCCGGCTCCATGTTCGAGCTGCTGCGTCGAAAGCTTAGTCACTCGCCCGCCTATCCGCACATGCTCTCCCTGCTGCAGCACATGCTCCTGCTGCCCTGTAAGTATATCGAGAATATCGATATTTTCTATATTTATACAATATCGTATCGATAATATCTATTTTTTGAGGAATATAAAGTAAAATCTAGAAAAATGCATTATAAACGTGTTTATAAAAACGTTAGAAAATCTTCAATGCTTTCGATAACAATAAAATATCGAAATTTCGCGAGGTCTAAAAAAGTAAATTCTAAAAGAAAAAGTATTATAATTATATTTATAATAAAACGATGAAATAAACATCAGATAAACATTGATATTTATACAATATCGTATCGATAACATCGATGTTTTCAAAGAATAATCGAAATTTCGAAAGGTTTACTTAAAAAAAGTAAAATAAAACGTTAAAAAACATCCCATAAACATCGAAATTTCGATATTTTTTAAACTCTTCTTAGAGTGCCGTCTAATCTAGAGTTATTGTATCCTATTCCCCGCAGATACAACGGGCCACTGCACGGAGCACTGGCTGCTGATCGACCGCGTGGTCCAGCAGATCGTGCTGCAGGTGGAACAGCGGCCGAACAGCGATCTCATCCCCGATCCGGACGATGCGGAGAAGCAGCTGAAGCTGGCCGCCGATACGCCCGTCCACGATCCCGACGTGGCGCCCCTGCAGATCGATGTGGCCAAGCTGGTGCGTCTCCTTGTCAAGGAGGAGCAGCTGACGCAGGCGCGCAAGCGAGCGGACGAGCTGGAGCGCGAGAATTTCGACGTGCAGTCGCGGCTGGCCAAGAAGGAGCAGGAACTCGATCTACGCATGCAGGAGAAGGAGGATCTGGAGACGGGACTGGCGCGAATGCGCGAGCGTCTCGAGAAGGAGTCCGCCCAGCACTCGCAGGCGGTGCAGCGGGCGCAGACCGCGGAGATGCGGGCCGAGGATCTGCAGCACCGCCTGCTCAGCGAGCAGCAGGAGCGCTCGCGCCTGGAGCGGCTGGTCACCGAGGGCAGCATACCCGACGACCAGAAGGTGGCCGGTCTCACCGGCTGCAATGGGGCCGTCTCCCCGCCGCCGGCTCCGCCCATGCTCAAGACCATCCCGCCGCCGCCGCCACCGATGGCGCCGTCCATGATGATGCCCCCACCGCCGCCGCCCTGCCCAGGAGCCCCGCCTCCGCCGCCGAGCATGGCACAAACGATGGGTGAGATGTCCGGAATAGCTAGCTATCTAATTGGTGTGCTAATACCACTTCTATATTTGATTACCATCACAGCCCCTGCGCCACCCAAAGTGGATTTGCCAAAGAAGAATGTGCCACAGCCGACGAATCCGCTGAAGAGCTTCAACTGGTCGAAGTTGCCGGACGCCAAGCTGCAGGGCACCGTGTGGAGCGAGCTGGACGAGAGCAAGCTGTACAACAACATGGAGCTGGAGTCGATAGATAAGCTATTTTCGGCCTATCAAAAGAACGGGGTGTCGGTAAGTGGAAATGGGATATAAAGCTTGAAAAATATCGATATTTTCGATATTTTAAGAGCATTGTTTCGATAATATCGATGTTTTCAAGGAAAAAAAGTAAAACTTAAATAATTAGTATTTTTATTTAAAAAAAAAAACGTGGGAAAGACTGAAGGTTTCTGATAAACATAAAAATATCAAAATTTCGATGTTTTAAGTTTTAAATATCGATATTTTCGAAATTTTTCAAACATGTCGATAATATCAGAGTTTTAAAGGAAAAAAGTAAAAGCTAAAATAATTTGTATTATTATTTTTATAATAAAACGTTGGAAAGACATCGATGGTTCCGATAAACATAAAAGTATCAAAATTATCAAAATTACGATATTTTTCAAGTTCTAATGAGATCCCCTTTGAATCCATCCATCTAATTTCCCATCTTCCTCCTTCCTTCCCCAGGCCACCGACGGATCCTATGAGGATTTGCGAGTGACTGGCAAGGCGACCAAGCAGAAGGTACTGTCGGTGATCGATGGACGCAGGGCGCAGAACTGCACGATCCTGTTGAGCAAGCTGAAGATGAGCGACATGGAGATATCAAAGTAGGATTGCTAGCTGCCGCATTTAACAACTCAAACATTAACGATTATTATCGTGCACTTGCAGGGCCATACTCTCCATGGACAGCAACGAGCAGCTGCAGCTGGACATGGTCGAGCAGCTGCTCAAGTTCACGCCGTCGGCGGAGGAGCGAGCACTGCTGGACGAGCACAGCGAGGACATTGAGTCTCTGGCGCGGGCCGATCGTTTCCTCTACGAGATATCCAAGTGGGTTTTTTAATTGATTTTATTTGGTTTCTTAAATCTGTAATACTGTATTGTAATCCTTTGTAGGATTCCCCACTACGAGCAGCGGCTAAAGAGTCTGCACTACAAGAAGCGCTTCATGCTGACCATCAACGACCTGATCCCACGCATAACCAGTGTGATGGAGGCCTCGCGCGAGGTGGCTCGTTCCCGTCGCCTGCGCAAGCTCCTGGAATTGGTGCTGGCATTGGGTATGCTTCTGTTAAGATTCTCATTAAATACACCACTATAATGCAAACAAATCCCCCACAGGCAACTACATGAACCGCGGGGCACGCGGCAATGCCTCTGGCTTCCGACTGGCCTCGCTCAACCGGCTGGCGGACACCAAGTCGAGTGCCGCCAAGGGCACCACTCTGCTGCACTACCTCGTCCAGGTGATCGAGCGCAAGTTCAAGGACCTGCTGAAGCTGGAGGACGACATACCGCATGTGCGCGAGGCCTCCAAGGTGTCGCTGGGCGAGATGGACAAGGATATTCAGATGCTGCGCACCGGCCTGGCGGATGTGGCGCGCGAAATCGAGTTCCATCGCAGCTCGGGCCCCGCCCAGCAGGGTGATCGCTTTCTGCCCGTGATGCGCGAGTTCCACGCCCAGGCATCGGTGCGCTTTGCGGAGCTGGAGGACAAGTTCCAGGACATGAAGACGCGCTTTGATCGGGCCGTCCGGCTGTTCGGCGAGGATGGATCGGTGCTGCAGCCGGACGAGTTCTTCGGCATCTTCGACTCCTTCCTCGGCGCCTTTGCGGAGGCGCGGCACGACAACGAGAGCTTCCGGCGGCGGCAGGAGGAGGAGGAGAAGCGCGCGAAGCAGGAGGCGGAGCTGAAGAAGCGCACCATCGAGCGCAAGAACAAGACGGGTCTGATGAGCAGCGTGGCCCGCAATCTGGGCCTCAAGTCGGGATCCCCAAATGGCGGAGGTCCCGATTCGCCAGCCAAAAGCGTCGACAACAAGGGCGAGTTTGACGATCTCATTTCGGCCCTGAGGACCGGCGACGTGTTCGGCGAGGACATGGCCAAGTTCAAGCGGTCGCGCAAGGCGCGAGTGCTCAACGGTGGCAGCGGTGCCGCCAGCACCACCGGCCACACCTCGCCGCCGCGCCACGGCAGCCTGCAGCGGGAGGACAGCAGCGGGCGGGAGCGCGAGCGGACGGTGAGGCGCCAGTAATTGGATAAAGAACGGGATGGAGCAGGAGATTCGAGGGATTAAGATCTCTGCTGTCCCCGCTGTAAAGTAATGTTTCCCCGGATTGCGCGAAAGTATTTTTTTTTTATTTGTTTAAATCGTAAAGACACTTTTTGTAATTATTTATATATCTACTCATACTACCCGTACGCATACACTACGTTTGATGTATCTACCTACATAAACACCTACATATATAGCACATAATCTAAACGTAAAGCAAGCGTGAAACCAAATTTTTTACAAAATCGAAACGTAATTGTAATTTAAAGTCTAAACAAAAATGTTATGATCTAATCGAATCGAAGCGGATTGGATCATTGTGTGTAGCGTACCTTGGAAATTGTATTTGGCAACCATAATATGCTTCTATATCTGTACACACCGAGTCCTAATCGAACGGAGCTCACTCATCCTTATCGTAGCGCAATCGAGTAAGCTCGGCATAATCACTGCACATGGAATCGCCGGAGAGTCGGAGAATCGCGGCCTGCCATAAAGTCATGTTCAAAATTAAGGTTATATACATACATATTGCTTGTTTTCTTCTTGATTTTTTTTTTAGCACGAGACCCAGTGTATCGAACCCACATTGAACCTACACAGATTTTAAGGCGCATTAGGAGTTTGCACAGACCACGCCCCTTATGCGGATAAAGCTATCTTCTATTGCAAATCACACCCTTACCATTAACAAATTATAATAAACATTTATTGTGAATGAAAATAAACGAAGCTCGGTTTTTTGATCGTTTAAATATTAAAATTGCGATGTTATCGAGGATTATTTTGCAAAAGTTGTACAAAGACAAAAGCAATTGGAAAAAGGTAGAGTGAAATAATAACCTATTTTTTAGCAGTTTTTTAGCCGTAATTTGGACAAATCACGGCGTACAGCTAAAAAACCGACTGTTTTGAACAGCTAACAACATAAACTAACGATCCCCATCATTTTTTGGAAAATTAATTTTTTGATAAATTTTCACTTTTTTAATGATGGTTAGTTACATCATGATTTTTTCCAAAAAATTGACAAATACTAAAATGTCCAGATTTGAATGCCGATCGATTAGGGATTTCATTACGAGTTCAACGAGGTACGACACTCCATATTTGGATTATTATACCCGTTTTTATGGCCAAAATACTGAAGCATTCGGCAAGATTTTTCTCGGTGAAATGGTTGGACTCCTGGATTTCAGATACCAGGCGAACAGAAGCGAATAGCAGGTGTCCAACGATCAGCTGATCAGTTTATTCTTCTCCCACTTAGGGATGGCCTTTCTGCGGCACGCTCCATACAAACTCGTGACTATCGTGCCCAATTCGTAGCACGAACACAAGAACAGCGTGGTTGCTCATCCCTAATTTAAGCTTTCCTTTAAACTAACGGTTGTCTTCTAGTAAGCTTCGCTCCTATTGGTCTATAGCTGGCTTCCAGCCGCCATCTTGAAAAAAGAACCGTTATGTGAGAGAAGTCACAAAAATTAGCAGCGACCTCCTATTATTTCTGTGTGCCTGGTATCAGAAATCAGGAAATTGGTCTTGAAACGCACAAGTCGAGGATTACGGTAAATTTGGGGGAGAGTTATGGTCAAATTGGTCCGCCAGATCGGCTAATTCTCTCGAATCTCTAGATTCGAAGTACCAGGCGAACAGAATTTTTAGCAGGTGGCTGCAGGTAATGCAGAATTCCTGTGACGTCATTTTTAAGTATGCTCCTATTGGTCAATGTCCAGGCCGCCATCTTGAAAAAGCACCGTTATGAGAGCGAAGTCAGAAATATCAGCAGCGACCTACTACTTTTCTGCTGATTCTGTTCGCCTGGTGTAAAAAATCAGAAAATTAGTCTTGACACGCACAAGTCGAGGATTACGGTAAATTTGGGGACGAGTTGTGGCCAATTTGGTCCGCCAGATCGGCCAATTCTCTCGAATTTCTAGTTTCGAAGTACCAGGCAAACAGAATTAATAGTAGGTCGCTGCAGGCAATAGAGTTCCTGTGACGTCACCATAGAAGTATGCTCCTATTGGTCAATAGCTGGCTTCCAGGCGGCCATCTTGAAAAAAGAACCGTTATGTGAGCAAAAACACAAAAGTCAGCAGCGACCTACTACTTTTCTGCTGATTATGTTCGCCTGGTGTAAGAAATCAGAAAATTTGTTTTGAAACGCACAAGATGAAGATTACGGTAAATGTGGATCATTTCTAAGCTGAGTTTGGGTAATATTTTTGGGATAAAAAAAATGTAGCATACTTTTGGGTGAATTTAAAATCTTTTATTGCAAAAAACGGACAATAGAAAAAACAATTTTTTTGCTTTTATTACAGCAAATGAACAACAGATTTCACTTTTTATACACATTATAAAATATCCTTAAAATTAGAATAAAATTAACATTTGTATACTCTTGCTCATCAGAAAAACATGAAGAAACCGAATGATTTTTTCAAAGGTTTTTTTCAGTTTTTTAGCCGTAATTTGGACAAATCACGGCGTACAGCTAAAAGACCGACTGTTTTGAGCAGCTAATAACCTACACTAACGATCCCCATCACTTTTTGGAAAATTCATTTTTTGATCGATTTTCACTTTTTTAATGATGGTTACATCATGATTTTTTCCAAAAAATTGACAAAAATTAAAGTGTCCAGATTTGAATGCCAATCGATTAGGGATTTAATTACGAGTTCAACGTGGTATGACACTCCATATTTGGATCATTATTCCAATTGTTATGGCCAAAATACTGAACTTAAGGCGAACAGAATCACGCAACATAAGATTTCGGCAGTGCCTAAATGCAGGCAATGGAAAGTGTAATATTGGCAGCCCGAAAGTATGCTGCAATAATTTAGCAACTTAAAATTAGTAAGTTATTAGCGCCATCTACATGTCCAAAAGTATGCTACAATATTTATACGCTTTTCAGTTTCAAAAATTAATTTCTTTTCCTTTATTTAATTTATTTTCGCCTTTAAAAATACAAAATTATTCCGTTTTTTTTGGCAATAGATGGTTTTATTTTAATCATATACTTTGTTGAGATTTCATCATTAGAGCTGCGACCGCTCGAACGCGCTTTGCTGACTGAAATTGAAAAATAAAAAGTATTATTATAAAATTAAATTAGTTTATATTTTTTTGAGAACCTTACCCGCGATCACCAGCTAGATGCTTTCTCGCTGCCTTCCATTTCTCGTTTAGTTTTGCCAATTGGTTTATTTAGACAGAAAAACAAACACGCGCAGCACGACCAGGATAAAGACGTTTTAAAGGATTTTATGGGCCCTTGGCCTCTGGACGCCCCATCCTGGCCTCGTCGTCGTCCACCAGCCACTTGGCGATCGACAGTCGTCCGTTGACATCGGCGCTGTGCAGGCGCTGCTCAAACTCCGCATACGAGATCTGCTGGCAGGCGGCGAAGATGAAGGCCTGCTGCTCCAGCAGCAGCAGCTCGGCCTCCACCTCGGGCTTGCGTTCCTGCTCGGCCAGCTGCTCCTGGTCCTGTTGCGAGTTCCAGATCGGATTGAGCAGGCTGCGCATGATCTGGCGGAAGTCGTCGCGTGTGATGCAACCGCTGCGCCGGGTGTCAAACATCTTGGAGAGGAGGCGCAGCTTCTGGGCGCGACCGTCGCGGCGTCCGTTCGACCCGCGACCAAATTGTGGCACCAAAAAGGTGGCGCACGTCTCCACGAACTGGTCAAAGTCCAGGCGAGCGCTGGCCTCGCGGCTGGGGAAGAAGCCATCGACAATCTGGCGGTGGAGCGGATTGAGCGAGAGCTGCGGTATGCGCAGCAAATCGGTGGGCGTCAAGTAGCCGCGCTGGTGGCGATCCAGGCTGCGAAAGCGAGTGTGCAGCTGCTCCAGCTGCTCGGCCGACAGGCCGGTGGCCTTCTGGTGGTCACCCATTTGGGCGGGCTTTAGCTGGCGACTTCCTACCGCGCCCATGCCGAGATATGCTGGTTCGAGTTGCTCCGAGTGTTTCAGTTTTCAGGACATTCAGGTGACCTGATGAAAGTATTATATAGAGTTACAAAAGACGTATGGCTAACAGCTAAAACAAAGATAACTCACTTGACATAAAGTTCACAGGCGTAGAATATGTCTCCAAATTGATAAGAAATTTACAATTTTTCAAAGGAAATAGAGTTTGACATTTCTTGCGGAATATTCAAGTCAGTCCTCAGAATAATTATATTCAATATTTAATTGGTTTAAATCTCCAGGAATGCCATTTAAATTGCCCGACCTTGGGGCAAACCAAATAGAAATATAAATAGTGGAGCAGAGCTCTCTTGGCATTATTATTTCTGTGTCATTTTCATTTGTTGACTTTTGCAAAATGCCGCATAAATCAAAATGGGCGCTGTCAAGGCCGCAGGTTGTGGGTGGGCAGAGCTCTAGCCGAGCTACTTCCGCGCCATCGTCGTCGTCGCCTCTGACGCACTATATATCGAGAGTGCTATATCTTCTTCTATATATCCACCCCCCTCAGCCACCCGCGTCACCTGATGCCCCTCCTAAAGTCTCGAGGGGCGGCGGAAACGCCACGGTGCGTGCGCCTTGGCCAGCTGCCAGCAGAAGAGGGGCCCCTGGTGACCAAACTAATTGGCCCGCTTTCGTTGCGTGTCCGTCCGTCCGCCGGCTGGCTGGCTGACAAGGCTGGAGGGCAAGGTGAAGTGTTCGTTGTCCAAACAAAAGCACAACTATGAGTACGGCGGCTAACAAGCTTAGCAGACAGTCCTCCTGCAAATACAAATACAAAAACAATTATAAACAAGAACAATTTTTAAATAATTACCGATTGCCTGCCTGTTGGTTTACAAAATTTAAATTTTAAGGACAAGCTCAATTCAGAAAAAGGGATTCGACTTTCTATTCAGCTGAAAGGAGTGCGAGAGAGATGGAAATATGCAAGCTGCAAAGTGACAAAACGGCAAAGCGACACCTAGCGGCAAACACTTTGATTGCTCATAAGTAATTTATAAGTAATCATAATTTTTGTATGGGTATTCGTATGTATATGGTTATTTTGTAATTGAAAACACTTTGTTACAAAATGTAAGCTTTATTTAAAAGAAGAGAGCAATAATTCTGAGAAAAAGGACCTTAAAAGTGGAAAAATTCTGTACCCTTTGAAAAGTTCTTATCTTTCGATCCCCAAACTACAGAATTTTTTAACTTCCTTTACGGTAGAATAAAACGAAAGAAGACATAGTCATACCGAAAGACAATTAGTAGTTTGAGTTATAGCTTTAAGCCGTGGAATCAACGTAAGCTGCCTACGCTGATTCAGAGTCCCAGTCACAACCCCTGCGGATAGATGACAAACAAACAAATAGCTATAGCCAACCAATGCAATTGGTCCGACCTCTGCTGCTATGATTGAGCATACAAATTACGAATTACGAATATGCTTTGCATATAGAATCGCGCGATCCGAGCGTAGCTAAAAATACGTACTGAAAAACTCTTACATTCGACGATCGCCTCGCCAATTCCACTTGCAGCAGCAGCAGCTGAGTAATGTGCCGAAATGTGTATGCGAAGCGTTTTTCTTTCCGAAAGAAAAGGAAAATACAAGTCATATATGAGGATGAGGACTGTGGAGGAGAAATAATGAAAAATGCCCGGCACATGCCGCCGGCTGTCCGCTGGCCCCACATTCCCATTTCCATCCCCATCCGCCGCATTTTCCTCCCCGAGGCCGAGAGCAAAATCGACGAAATGCCTGGCGAGTGTCAAAAACGCGTCAAGATCAAAGCGAGCACGAAATTTCACCGCCCAGTTGCCAAATGCAATAATAAATTGGCCACACTAGACAACAACAGCAGCAGCAATCCTATTAGCTTAGACATTTTTGAATACTCACAATTGTGGCAGGAAATTTAGCGCCTTAATTTTTGGCTCGAAATGTGTCCTTGGTCTGTTCCCACTGTGGTGCAAACCACAACCTGACTGCAGCTTACAAAAATTGTTCACCGTTTTTGCGTTCTTACTGTTAAGGATATCCTTGATCTGTTCCTACGGTGGTTCGAAACCTGACTGCAGCTCACAAGGATCGATCACCATTGGGTTCGCATCCTTACTGTTAGAATATCCTTGGTCTGTTCCCACTGTGGTTTGGAACCTGACTGTAGCTTACAAGGATCGATGGCCGGGGGTTTGCGTCCGGGCTAGGTGTGTGCACCAACTACTTTTGAAGATGAGTTTTATGAAAATTCACGGATAACACAGTTTTTTTTTGTAACTATAATTCTCACCCCGACTGTCCGGTCCGCTGAATTCCTTGCTTTCCTTTTGGCGCGTACAAATTGCATAAAATGTTTTTTGTTTTCTCAACAATTTGCGGCCCACTGCTGCCATATGTCCGAGGCCCGCTATTCGTTTGCCATTCGAATGAGTCAGGCGGACGACCGATGGATTGGAGTGCTTTTGGTTCGGTTCGACTCGCTGATGCTGATGCCATTACTGCGGCATAATGAGACAATTTTAATGCATTTAAATGAACTTGATTACCGGGCCGGTCTTGCAGCTCAGCCCTGAGACTCAGCGACGCTCTCCATATGGCACTCCCCCAACAGCCTGATGCACCCAATGATCTGGATGCAGATGCAGATACAGTGGCACCAATCAAATGGGCAATATTCAAATTGCATTTAGCATGAACCATAAACATGAGGGGAATTTTTGGGAACAGCAAAGGGAGATCCAATCAGTATCCTTTTTATCGACGACACATCAAAAGGAATCCTACATATAACCTGTTGGAAAGAAAGAAATGAGTTAATGTATCATTAGAAAAAAATATTCATATACAAAACAAGACAGAATAATATAATCAAGTGTCTCGACTATCAAATACCCGTTTATTACATTTGGATTTATACTTTTTTGGGCTGGGCACCCCTGTTTACTGAGATAGTAGATTTCTCAGGCTATTTCCTCTTTTTACGAACCACCACCCAAAGCTCCAGCTTATTGGACGAAAAAATACAAAAAATATAGTAATATAATAATCAAAACATTTTAAGCGCCTCTCAAGGTTGTTTTGTTGGCACCGGCAAACGAGTCTCTAATGTTTTGGGGTATTCGGGTTTTGGCGTTTCAGGGGGAAATGGAAATGTTGGTAGTAGACTGGCAAATGCCCTACAAGCAGCTAAAAACAAAACTAAACAGAAATAAAAACAAAAACAAAAGGTAGTGGTAGCGCCACACAAAATAAACAAATGACAGGCAACAATTTGTAGAGCAATGCTATTTTTTACATTCGGTCGGTTGGTCGGTCTGTTGTTCTCGAGTTCTTTTTGCTTTTTGCGTTAGTTTTGATTAATTAATTTCCTGACTAATTCATCCACAATGCGCGACTCGCTGGAGCCGCAGTAAATGTGCCAAAAGCCAAAAAAAAATAGGATTTAGAGCTGCAGAGAGGAGAGATGGGGATGGAAGAGTAATTGTGAATAATTGGAAATGATTGCGTTTTACTTTTTGGGATGCGAACAATTCTTTATTGGAGCAGCGCAGCGAACTGAAAAGGAAAAATGCAGGTTTGGATCCACATTTTTAAAGCATTTGAGGATTTGTTTTGGAAATTATAACCATCTAATTTAATAAACAAATCAGCCTATTAGAACAAATAAATTGATTTGGTTTCTATCCTGAAAAAACATGTGAAAATATTTAGACAAAATCATTTTAAGTTTAAGTTCTTAAAACTCAAGTCCAGGAAATATAAGGTAATATTCCGTACACAGAAAACGAAATCAAATAAATTGAAAATTCATTCTCAAAAATCGTTTAAAACTGTTCTCAGTATCAGCAGAAAATGGTGAGAAGAGTTAAATAGAGTTCTTTCAAAAACTTCTTAATAAGTATACTCTATCTAGTATAAATCTAATCGTTTAGTTGTTGAGTTAAACATTGTAAGTACCGACTTTTTAACTCAGGTGAAAACGTCAGAAATATTCCTCAGTGTAGTCGGGACACCGGATTAGCATAGCCCAATTCCTGTTCCCAATGAAAGTAGGAGCAAGAACGAGGGAACGAAGGCCTTCATCGGATGTGACAAATGTGCCACATTTAATAATAATAATAATTATTAGTTGACTCGTGAGTTCGGGTTAATGTCAGGCGTGAGGCGACTCATCGCCGCGATCTTCAGTTACCGCAGAGGCAGAGGCAGACGCAGACTGATTGGCTGGCTGGTTCAGAGGCTAAAAATAGTCGTCTTGGACTGGGCTTGCAGCTACGAGGAATCGTAGAATGCGAATGTAAATCTAATAGATAGACTCGACGACTCGTCGGCGCTTCTATAAATATTTGCCCAACTAACCCAACGATTTGAATTCGAACGGAGGAGCGGTTTGGAGCGGAGTATCATGAATATTATCGACTCAACGCACTGTCGTTGACTCATGCGCAAATAACTTGGCTTATTAGAAATTCAAAGGCCCCCTCTTCTATCACCTCAGCCACCTCTGCCACCTCAACTCGCCTATGGAGTAACATAAAACCACCGTCCAGCACTGCCATTCAAATGCAAATGAGCTTAATCAAAAGCAGAGCTGCCCGCCGTAGCGTCTGAGCGGCTTTTAGATTTTGGCTCTGCTTTTGGCCAGGCCCAAAGTGTCAGCTAGAGATGTACGATGCGCTGCGCCATTTGCCAATCACGATGGGCGGTTCCAAAATAAAAACGAATAACGAAAAACTCGCTGGATTTTTACGACTTACGCAAAAATGGGAAAGCTACTTATTAGGTGCCATTAAGGTTCTCAATTTATTGGGGAGGCTGGCGGCACAGTTCGAAATTTCCAATTAATCACAGCGAAGAACGCAGTTCAAGAGGCGGTTATAGCACTACCTGGCGTATACGTAATATCCATGAGCTTATATTGGGAAATATCTGAAATAAAATCAAAAAGTTAATTTTTGGGAATTAACTATATTATTATTCATTATTATATGTACCTGAATTTTACAGTTACATTCCGTTTTTACAATCCAGTTAGGGATCCAATATGGATTATTTTGTATAATATCTGAATAAAATAAAAAAAAGTCAATTTAAACGCTAATTTAAATATTTGGAAATATAATATGAATATAATATCTGAATAAAATATAACAATTTAATTTAAACC